ATATATGGAGTGTTTCCATCATCTCTTTCCACAGAGTGTGGAGTGATACAGGCACACAAATAGTTGTTTTGGGGTTTGGAGACTGTGTTCCTGAAGTTTTAGTGTAGGAAGATTCAGAGGAGTCTTACTTATAAGTAAATGTACCTTTTCTGTAGTGTTTGAAAATATTTGCTAATGTTTTGATCTTTGAAAGACTTCATTTTCCAACTTCATTTGCTTGGGCAAAAGAGTGTATTCATCCATACTTAGAAGTACAGATGATTTCACATACCTATGAGTTTGAAAATCTGCAGCATATTCAGGTTGAGAAAGGTGCTAAGTTTGGGAAATTCGTTGCTCAGAAATTGTGTGGGGGACAAGAGGCCCTGGGGTGTCGTTGCTCCACAGTAGATGAGCTACTCATTGGTCCACTGCACAGAAGGGCCCTGGGAGTGGGTTGTCCACAGTGGGTTTGTTACTCATGGGTCCACTAGGCTGTGGTCCTGGGTGTGGGCTGTTCACTGTGTACCTGTGTGGCTAATGGATCCACTGAAAAAGGCCCTGGGCCGGATGTCCAAGTTGTATGTTGTGATTCCTGAATCTACTCAGTTATCTCAGCAGAAGCCGGAAATAACAATAATTGTCTAAAGGAAAGATACCTTAAAGAGCCTCTTGCCGCCTGGCATTGACCCCTGAGACATACACAGAATATGCTCAAGGATCTTTAAAACAAATGTATCTGTAGGAACAGTGTTGTTGCTGTTGTTAAGTGCTATTGAGTCGGTTCCGACTCATAGTAATACTGTATAGGGTTTCCAAGGAGCGACTGGTGAGTTTGATCTGCTGACCTGACAGTTCAAACCGACCTTGAGGTCAAGTGCCACACCTGTAGCGCCACACCAGGACTCCAGAAACAGAGACCATCTCAAGAGACGACTTGATGAGTTAAACATTAAAAGACTGAGTACCAGTGAGGTGTGGGATCGTACCATAGATATCATATATGATGAAAGCAAAAGGTGATGAAAAGGACAGGAAAGAAAGAAATGACAAAAGTAAATGTCAGAAGAAACTCTGACACTTGCTCTTGAATGTAGAGTAATGAAAGTGAACTGAAGAAACAGTGAAGTAAAAGAGCTCACCAGAAGCTTTCCAAGAGCAGCTTGAGAAGATAAAGTATTATAATGAAAAGTGCACAGACCTGGAGTTAGCAAAGCAAAAGGGAGGGCCATGCTCGATGTTTCTCAAGCTAAAACAACTGAAGAAAGTGTTCAGGTCTCAAGTTGCCATATTGAGGCATTCTAGTCCTGTCGTGGTGTGCCGCAGGATAATGTACTGGACCACAAGGTCAGTATGAACCTAAAAGTTGGCAGTTCAAACCCATCAGCCACTCCCTGGAAGCTTTAAGCAGGGTCACTATGAGTCAAAATAAACTAAACAGCACTTCACAACAACAACAATGGCTGAAATATTGGACGATGCAGAAACATCAAGAGAAGATGCAAGGAGGAATACACAGGGTAAGTATACCAAAAAGAGTTGGTCACTGTTCATCCATCATGTTGTTGTTGTTAAGTGCTGTGGAGTCGGTTCCGACCCATAGCGACCCTGCACAGGGTTTCCGAGGCTGTAAATCTTTACGGGAGCAGAACACCTCACTTTCTCCCACAGAACAGCTGGTAGTTTCGAACTGCTGTCTCTGAGGTTAGCAGCCTGATTCGTAACCAGTACACTCCCAGAGCCAGGGAGTCATAGGAGAAAAAAAATCCAGCAAGTATTAGCTGTGACCAGTGTGCCCCTTCTCATGGGCCCAGTGGACTTTAAGGTTATTGAAGACTCTACTTGGGAAACACTCTGAAAATGTTCTGTA